CAAAGTAATCCTAACCGACAAAAGACAACTTAATTTATAGTTTGTAAACAACGTGCTATGTTATAACGACAACAACTTCTGAGATGGAAGAAGTAAACTTTGTTGTTGCTGGGAGATTAAATATTTTAAAATTTAAAAGCTGTTCATTGGACTCCTATGTTAATTTGTCGTACATTTCTTAGTGTTAATATCCGAAAAAATTTTTTTCTTGGCTGTAGACGTCAATTAGTGGCCGTTAGTGGAAGTTCGAGTGATGTCCGAAGCACGTTGTTTGTTTTGTCCAGTTTTTGTTTGTAAAGTTTCTGTTTTAACACGAAATTTGTTTTTTAAAGCCAGCTCCCAATCTCTTCATTCCCTTTGCACCCTCTCCGCTGTGGATCTGGTGATTCATTGTTAAGGAACAATTGTTATTTTTATTGGTTAATGGAAAATCAAACATAATCTTTAAATATCACTATGATCCACTCGAAATAATTGAGATAAGAGCAGAATGCTGCAGCAACAGCAACACTGACTAAGATCAACAATACATTTCTTTGATTAAAAACTTTGACAGTTGTTTAAATGAATTTTTTACCACTGCCACAACAGTCATGTTTTAACCGCCAAATTGCCTATGTAATCCTGAACTTTTCAACTTTGTAAAAAATATGCAATGCGAAGAATTTACCTTTACGTATCAGCCAACGAATGTTTTCATACTTTGACCAGCATTTATTAACACTTTTTTCCAGTTTAATTTGTAGGTTCTACATAGTACTTCTTAATCAGAAAAACAGCACTTATTTGATCAAATGACTACAGAAGAAAACAAACCAAGGTGCTGTCGAAATATTAAAAAATTAAGTATTTGGATGCTGAATATTAACCTTTTAATCAACGATGCAGTGATTTCAATAGGATAACAACGAGTATGGTTTCAACATTCTTCAGCTAACAAAAACGAGGAGCTGAAAAAATAAGGTATTAAATCAGATGAGGATCAAGGAAGAAGGTGAGGAGAAAATGAAGAAGGGGAAGGAGATTTAAGTTAGAGGATGGAAAAAAGTTAGATGAAAGGATGAGACAGGGCTCTTTTTTAGGGTGGAATATATCGCTTGGTAACACTGAAGAATGTGGCTGTGGTAAAGCTGCTGACGCTGATGATGATGACGATGATGATGGAAGGAGGATATGTGCCTGCTGGTTTTGTGTTTCGCAAAAAAAGCAGCAAAAAAAAAAAAAAAAAAAAAAAAAAAAAAA